AAATATCAGCCATTGGAATTTCAAGTTAATCACATCCGTATGGCCAGCAGTGAAAGACTGTGTGTCACTCACGGGGCATAGCAGAAAAACAAGAAATAATAAAAGTATACTCTTCAGTACTTTCGTTATGATTTATTTCACACTTAAATAAAATATAAATGGTATTGAAAGCCGGTACTGATGCACCTACAGACTGGCATAAATGTCATGTTACACAAGATATTGTTGCAACACCCTGTCACCCATTCCATTGATGGGCATACAGCTCTTTCGATTTGGCAGGTTGTAACACGAATGGGTCGGCCTGACCGGGGTTGTACGACGCTTTCACATAATACCAGCATAAAATAGCAGCTTAATGCTGCCGTGTTTTGTGCGGTGAGTGTAGAGAACCGAAGACTCTTTTGGATGGAACAAGGCATTCCATCTTAGTGCTCAAAAGTGACAACGTACTTGCTACTGCATTTTGATTCTTTATCGAGGATAAATGTAGATGTCTATGGGCCAACAGTGTGTGGTCACTGTGTGGTCGTTTGTCAAGCCTGTTCTTTAAAAAAAATGAACCGATAGTTAATAAGGCATTTATTACATACACGCAATATTGTATCTAAAAATTAATTGATCGATTCGATCGAAGATTACGACTCCTTAAAAACAAATTAACCGATCAAAAAACTTCAATGTCAACATCGTCGTTTTCGTCTTCTTCATCCAACTCTGGCTCTAATTTGATAAAACTTTCAGCCGGTATAAGAGATTCCTGAAGCAGGAGCTGCTCAGTCGCATGGTTTCCGCACTCTTTCTCTTCTAATGCCACATTCAAATCATTCTCTGTTTGTAAGTAATTGTATTCTTCTTTACTCATAAACGAAGCCAGACCTCTACTCGGATTCGAACCGAAAACCATCTCACTCGCCGTTCTGCACAACACTTTGTTGAATGCCGTGTTTAGAGAGTACTGTATAAACTTTAAACCTTGCTGCCACTTACAATTCTTATTACGATCTAGCCATTTATTCAACTCTTTTAAAATAACGTCATTTGATTTACCGTTGAACTCACTTTCACAGGAATTCGGCTCACCAACCACTATCTTTATGTCAGGATTTACATTCGACATTCGGCGGCAGATTTTTTTAGTAACGCATATGCCGTTTTTCGATTGTAATATATTTGGCGCGCCGAATATAAGAAATATTTCCAATAACGCTTCAACTGTCTCGTCGATATTAGTCGATTTAAGCGCCTTTAAATGCGTGTATTTATTTACGAAATCTCTATACACCATCATGTATTTGTACTCTTCTCGTGGGACTGAACTTAAATTTAATAAGTCTACTTGTCCCCGCGAATATAGCTCAGAATATATATTTCTATTGTCATCGTCTGGCCCATTTTCTTCTTCGGTATTATCTTCTGTTGACATACGAGTAAATGTCTCGTTCACATTCAAACTCGAACTAGAAGCGACGTCGCTAACATCATTCGATATATCCAATTGCTTAAAAACTCCTTTAGTTGGTTTATTTCGTCTATTGTCCTTGTTCTTGCATGTCTTACATAAAGATAAATAGACGAGAACAATCTGTGCAGTGATATTTTTATATTTTGGTTTCATTGCGATCATCATTCGCGTCCTTCCGCCATGATTTAATTTGAGGTGAAACGAGCGAACAATATCGTATATTTCGTCAGTGTTGACAAACAACTGCCGTTGACCCGGGCTTGGAGATTTTGCGGAAATTAACCTTTCACCTGACGGCGTCTTTATTATTTCGAATCTCTTCAAACGTCGATAATCAGCTGAAGTTTTCTTGACACTCGTCTTGGCTAACTTAACTTGTTCGATGAGTAAAGCATATCGCGCTGGAGTCAGCAAAAGGGTATTCGGAGCACGCTTACTTTTCAGCACTTCATTCAATCGTCGATAAAATTCCTCTCTATCGACATCTTGGTCACCCTCCGACATGATTATACTATGTCCAAACTTGTTATAGATTAATTAATCAACTAACAACACAAAATGTTGCTACACCAGCAAAATAATTTGATATAAAGTGCCAAATATTAAACACAACAGGACATGTTTGCTTGTAGCAATCACTACATACCGTTCTACACATCAATGTTACATAGTCTCGGCAACACGACGATGTGGGAATTAACTAAACGAGAATACACGAAGTGCCCCGAACGCGAGGTCGGTCAAAGCCGAACATTAGCCACGTCTCGCTCGCCTTGCTAACGCGTTCTGCCCGTGAAATCAATTAAACCGGTTTGCGTTAGTCACCGCCGGGGACCCGGGGACAGCGCAATATACCAAGTAAGTAGGTAAGTAAGAAATGTAAAATAATTAGAAGTTTACCTTTCAATATGTTAAAAATTACCATGTGATGACATTAGACCATTTTATACTGTGAGTATAGGGTCACTAAAATGTTCCGATAGACGGCAGGATAACCGTATAACCCTCTGGTACCATCTATTTTGAAATTTTTGAAAAAAATATTTCGAAGACATGTGAAGTTCGTCAACACGCATTTGGGCAGCGCGGCGGACACTTCCTTGCCCTAAACCCTCTCAGAAATGAGGGGAGGCCTGAGCCCAGCAGTGGGACGTATATTGGCTGTAACTTTACCATCTATTTACATCATTAATCGATGTAATCTTTGGTAGTAGTTAATTATAGCAAACCGATCTACTACGGGAATATTTCATTGCCATCAGCAAATTAAAATTTATTGTTATGTTATTGTATTTGGAAGACTGATTTGACTACAATAGTGTAAGGAAAACAATATTATGTTTCTTTTTTATATAATAAAGGTGACAAACGAGCACACAGTCCACCTGATGATGTGTGCCAAGTGGATGCCGTGGCTGATGAGATGTATTTGAACTAATGGGGTGTTGTTAAGTTCGTTTTAGTTGTGGAGGTAACATAGGCCATAATTTTTTTCGCTTTTCAGTAATTTTTAATGCAAGCGAGCTTTTATAATTACCTGGCTGCTTTTCGAGTGTTTGTATGTACGTCTATTTCCTTGGCACGCTCTGTAGCCTAAACATGCGTTCACTAGAGCCATGGAGTTGATATTTAATTTATAGGGCAATGTATTCACGATGGTGTGGTACGTACGCTTTTACAGCAAAATATGAGAAACAAAAACTGTAGAAAAGATAATTATAGGTAGGTAGTAACAAAGCTCCTAGGAGTTAGTTAATAGCTACTTAGGTATCATTTACTAGGTACTCGCTTACTAAACTAAACTTTACAAAAATGAGCTTGAATACACAATTAAGCTAAGCTTTTGCTGGTTCTTTCCAGAACAGTTTTTTTATAGCATTGGGTGACAAACGAGCACACAGTCCACCTGATGGTAAGTGGATGCTGTGGCCCATAGACATCCACATTTATCCTCAAGTAAGGATCAAAATGCAAATGCGTTGTCATCCCTTAGAACTAAGGTTGAATTCCTCCACTCCATTCCAGTAAAAAGGGTCTCCAGTTCTCTACACTCACTATACGAAACGCAGCAGCATTACGCTGGTATTTTGTGAGAGCGTGGTCCTGCCCTGGTCGAGCCGACCCATTCATGCTACAACCATAATATAGTTGCAGCGTGGCACTTCCACGTATGCAAGTTAGTACGCAATAATAATGATGTATGTATTAGAGACATTTCGTTGGTTTTTATTTTCTCTTGGGCACCACACAACTTCCTACCTTGGCTTTGACAGAGAACGATCGATTTTCTTAATAAAGGAGTAACTTGACTGATTTTCAATCACATTTAAGTCTTTTAGAATGCATACTGAGGGCCGAGTATACAGCCACAAAACATCCAGAGACTATTATATTTCAAATTTCGTATTACATTAATAGCATTAATTACGTAAATAATGTTGTGCAATTTCCCCGTTAGCCTGTTACGGACCTCTACGCTGTGCCTTGGAGGACATTATCAGGTATGTTAGTATGTTACTTATGCCAACTTTAACAATGTTCAACCTGTGTTAGTGTTGGATTTCTTATCATTTTCGAAGCTTGTTTCATCAGGATTTCATAATGTAAACAGAGTGTCGAATGCCTTTTACGACTGTACAACATGTTACAAAAGACCAGTGGTTTCCATTAAGTGTGTTACCAGCGTCAGTTTTCAAACGTATAGAAACACTATAACACTAAAGGCTTTGCTTCGGAAAACTAGATCATACGAAATTAAACTAAATTTAAATAAATTTTTGTTTGCAAATTGTACGTGTTTTTACCTCTCCTTTCTCCTTTTTGCTTTGCTTTGTAGGAGTATTGTCAAAGACCTCGCTTTGCCGATGCGCATGACAGTTAGAGGTAATAAAACCACATACATTTAGCATTTAAATTATTATATTTTTTTATGGTCGAGTTTTTTTAAAATCATTTATGCTTTGCTTTGTAGGAGTATTGTCAAAGACCTCGCTTTGCCGATGCGTATGTCAGTTAGAGGTAATAAAACCACATACATTTAGCATTTAAATTATTATATTTTTATAGTCGAGTTTTTTTTAAATCATTTATGCTTTGCTTTGTAGGAGTATTGTCAAAGACCTCGCTTTGTCGATGCACATTTCAGTTAGAGGTAATAAAACCACATACATTTAGCATTTAAATTATTATATTTTTTCATAGTCCAGTCTTTTTTTTTTAAATCATTTATATTTATACGAATGAATACTAATTTTGATAACGCACAAACCACAGGGTTTTTGTTACATTTTGTGTACGAAAGTATTACCAAAACATCGGTATGAGAAAAAATTTAGGTATGTTCTAAAAACAGTAGTTCTTAATTTAACAGTTATATTATTTTATAAGGATTTTTAGAAAATTTTATTCAAAATTCTCCACTAAACTATATAAAAGACTAAAATAAAATATAGTAGTTGTAATTATGAAATAATAAATAAAGATATTTGTGTAAAAATAATAGAGATCAATTAGTAAAGGATAAAGTGTACAATACCGTGGGTACGGCGAACCGTCTGGACCAGGACAATCTGATCCCTGCAAAGCATCGCCCCATGCATATTTGAGTCTCGGTCCGCACTCGCTTGCAAGACAGCTCGCTATTAGGGCCTGAAATTTAAAAATACCGCGTTTATTAAAACTACTTTTACGGATTTTATCGCGTTTTATTTATTTTATTCTTAATACCCGACGTTTCGGGTGCTTTCCAGCAACTGCAGACCTCCGGGAACGTTGATGCTTCACGTCAGCATCAACGTTCCGGGAGGTCTGCAGTTTGTGATCATATCCTAGATAGCCTCAACCATTACATCAGATTTGACAGAATGAGGTTCAAGGAGATAGCTATTGAAATTAAAAAACATCCTAATTTCAATAGAGATGGAGGCTGGGTACTACCATCTGCTTGGGACCCTATAATTAATAAAATTAAAACTAAACCCAAGAATACCACAGCAAGACTTCAAAACACAGTTAGTTTATTCTGCCTAGATTGGACCAAAGACAATAATTAAAAAGCTGAAGGTACTCTGGGTTAACTTTGACATCGGGACGTCACCTCAGTCCCTTGGGTGCTGGAAAGCAGCCGAAACGTTGTGTATTAAAAATAAAATAAATAAAACGCGATAAAATTAGTAAAAGTAGTTTTAATCAATGTGTAGTGTTCGCGTAAATATAAGAAATCATTATGTACGCGTAACATCGTTTGATCTAACAATCCTTACAGAGATACATTCTAAATCGTACTTAATACACAGTTAGGTAAAAAGAGCCAATCCACCGACAAAATCGGAAGGTAGACGATAATATTTCATAGCCATTTGCACATTATCCAAAAACGATAACAGTGGCAATAGGCTGGTCACACAGCTATAGTGTTTTTTTATAGAAAAAGCATTTTTTTATAAAAAAGGATTAAGAATCAAAATGTAGACGCGTTGTTACCCCTGAGGCCTAAGATGGAATGCCAAGTTCCTAGTAAAAAAAGGGTATTCGGTTCCCTACAGTTACCACACGAAACACAACAGCATTAAGCTGCTTTTTACGCTGGTATTCTGGTATTCTGGCTTCTATGAGAGCGTCGTCCTTCCCCGATCGAGTATGTCGTGTTACAACCAAAATATAGCTGCAGCATAAATCTACCACGTATAAAAGCTAGAAGAACCGACGACAAATGGAGGAGAAACATTCGCCAGAGGCAGCGTAACGTTGTAAAGTTAAACGAAGTGTAGGGAGGCATGCCAATAGATAGAGTAGGGTAACGGCTAAGTAATAAGGAAGTTGATGGATGTGGGTGGCTCAGAACTGTGTTTAATGACTTTCCTAGGACGAGGCCTATGTTCAGCAGTGTGCGTGTAATGATGATGCTGATAAAATAGCAACAACAGTCTAAGTTTTTTATTTGAATATAAATAATTCAAATAATTTCGTTAAGAGGAAATATAACCTCAAATGGCTTAGCAAGATCCTCCGTTATGCCGAAAATATTGCAGCATTAATATTGAAATAAATATATGGTAAAGTAGAGGATTAATGTTAAGGACTATGTTAGACAAAAACACGATTCCGTAAAATTTTCTCGATAGAAAAAAATCCAAAGTTACCACCAAACTGAAAAATAAACCGCTGTTATTCAAAAAATAATTTAAATAAGATCATGAAACTTTGCATACTAACTGAACTAACTATAAAGCAGTGCTTATGTTATTTACTTCTTTTAAAATACCATTATTTTCACTGTAAAAAGAATACCTAAAATATTATTACCTAAACTATCGGCGTCTTGAAGCTTGATTCCTGCCACCCGGTTAGTATCGCTTCGGCTTTTGAAGTTGTGTCGCTTGCGATCAGAATACACATTACACAATAGGACGACGTAAAATTAAAATGGGAAATAACCATAATAATAATAAGAAGCGACTGGGTTGGCGTTAAGAAACAGACATAAATATGATAAACCTAATGAAATAAGTATCTAACGACCTTTCTACTTACAGTATTAGTGATTACAAATATGACGGTACATAGCATACGACGCGCGGGGAAGTGAGGGCGAAATTAGAATCCGAGCTGACTTACTATATCCCCTTAACTTCCCGCTATGAAAATTAGAGATAGCTGAATATTCGTTTTATACTCGGTATTTATCATATTCGGCACCTTTACCGAATATTTGTATTCGGCCGAATATTCGGCTAAATCACCGAACATTCGTTAAAGTGGTATTCAAAGTGTCCACTGTATTGAAATGTTCGAATTGAGTAATGCCATGTCTTTCATAATTTTACTGTTGAAAGTGTATTTTATTTATGGGTTAAATCTACTTGTATAGTGTTATGTTTTTGAGACACTGTAGATTTATTTCCAATTGTAGCAAATAGAAAGCTTGATAAAATGTATTTGGAATCAAAGAAAGAACCATTACATTACATTAGTACATGTCACTTTACCTTGGTCGTCAGTTTCTCTACAATAAGTCCAAATAGTAGAACTCATTTTTATCATATAATTATCAATTTTCACAAAGAATAACACAACGAAATACTTTTTTTTCTCACAAAAATAGTCAAAACATGAGCATGTACCAAAAATTTTAACCTCGGTTTTTGAAATTCGAGTTCTCATAAGATCTCGACGTTTCGATATCCTAGGAATCTATTCTGTCTATTTAGCGATGAGTACGTGCGTGCGTGCGTGCGTTGTGTGTGCGTGCGTGCGTGCGTGTGTGGTGGAGTGTTGTCGTGGCGTGCGTGTCTGTGTGTGTGGTGTGTGGTGTGTGTGTGTGTGTGTGCGTGCGTGCGTGCGTGCGTGCGTGCGTGCGTGCGTGCGTGCGTGCGTGCGTGCGTGCGTGCGTGCGCGTGCGCGTGCGCGTGCGCGTGCGTGTGCGTGCGTGTGTGTGTGTGTGTGTGTGTGTGTGTGTGTGTCTTAACATGTAAACATCTCATCATTTGTAACGGAGTGTCCAATCGAAAAGCGGTTTGCGATATCTGAAAGGGCCTTGCTGAACTTAGGCTAAGATCTATACTATACCGTACTTTAACTTTGCTTACGAAATACTTATCTAAGTATATGCTTAGCATAATCTTTGATTCTGAATTTATAGTTGCATCGGGCTAAGAGTAAGCTATGCCTATAAAATTCAAATAATTAATATTTAAAAATCCAAAATAATCCAAATTGTATTTCATAAATAAGTTATTATTACATTTAACTAATTTTAGTTTAAGATATGAGAATGAAACCGAACATTTGGACAGCCGGTCAAGCGCTGTCAAATCACTGTTTCAAACGTGAAGTAAGTATATTGATATTGTGGGCATTATAAGTTTCTAGTTATATTTGAAATTATTTAAAATTCAATTTACCCGACCATCTTTGGGCCTTTCTATAACTCAGGTTTGTTTAAGGACATTGTAATATAATAGAGAATATAGATAGATTTATATCTACTTTAGAAATTTAATTTTTGGCTAAAATTGCTGTTTTTTTTCTGCTGGTTCAAAGATTGTGGAAGGTAATGGATGAGACGAGTGCAAAAATCACAAAGAAAACAAGATTTTAAGAAAATCCAAATAAGTTTGAAATTACTTTAACGGCAAATGGAATAATGCTATTTAAAACCAGAAGACACCCTAAAACTACCTATTCATTGTTATAAATGATTAGAGTAACACAAAAACTACAATTTAAAATTAATACGGTGGTTTTGATTAATATCCTGAGTTTTTCGTAAGTCGTTGATATCGTTGACTTAGGCTTTGCTAAGCGCGCGCTCAGCGCGACTTCGAAGTTATTTCTATAAATACTGACATTGTCTTAGCTCGAAAGTAAAGTCTGACAATATCAAAGTACGGCCTATAGATCTCAGCCATAGACTTTCTGTTAATTTCGACCGAATCGTCACGGTAGATTCTGAGAAAATTTTCAAAATTATATATATATATATATATTATACGTGGTAGAGCCATCATGCAGTTATATTAGTAGTATAGTTGTAGCACGAATGGGTCGGCTCGACCGGTGAAGGACCACGCTCTCACAGAATACCAGCGTAAAATAGTAGCTTAATGCTGCTGTGTTTCGTATGGTGAGTGTAGAGAACCGGAGACCCTTTTTACTGGAAACGAGGCATTCCATCTTAGTCCACACGGGTGACAACACATCTCACATTTTGATTTGTAATCGAAGATAGTGTAGGTGTCTATGGGACGCAGCAACCACTTACCATCAGGTGGACTGTGCTCGTTTGTCACCCTATCCTATAAAAAAAATCGAAAGAAATCTCGAATCTGATTAGATTATACTCGTAGAATTGATCAAAACAAGGGTGTCGAAATAATTTAAAAAAAAACTTTTCAAAAATTGAAAATACTCGAATTTTTGAGGTTTTCTCAGAATCTACCGTGACGATATGGTCTAAATTCACAGAACACAAAGATAAGTTTAATATAAGTCGTCATAAATAGATGGAATTTAGAAAGCTTTGCATTTAAAATTAGCGGTGAGTTCCGGGTTCCGGGGCCTGCAGGTTCAACCAATTTTTTTTAAAGAAAATACTAGCAATGATATTAACGTTACTAATATTCTCTTTAACCACTCCTTGTAAGCGTAAACTGCTTGTGTTAGGAGTAGTTCACGACAGTAGTCGAATTTGAACTCGGATTCGAACTCACGAACTTTTGAGCTTGCGGTCCGCTGCCTGCCATTAGGCTACTGTTACTTTGAATTTGAAAAAAATATTGATACATCTTTGTCCTCTGTTTTCTTCTACTTTTTTGGACGGCACACACCTTTTCAGGGTAAGAATATTGATCAGAGGAATGAGGAAAGATTTAGACTACATATTATTATTTACAACGGGCAGCATAGTAATGAAAATTGGATAATCATTAAATTATTCGAAGGAATAGAACAATTTATTGATTTAATTCTTATTAACTAATTTTCACGTATTGGATTTGGATCATTATATCATGTTAGCCTTTTATGGGCTGTATTAATAACAGCGTTAAAGAAAAAACCACCCCATTTTGTTTCATTCGTCGTAAGAGTCGACTTATGGGAAATGCCACGTTCTTGTGACCTAGGAAAGAATAGTAATAACTGTCTCA